GGTCATGGAGAAGGTTTGATTAGCATTCCATTTTAACACCTTCAAAATACACAGCTTTACACTGAATCCTGTGAAGTGTTTTGAGACAACTTCCTGACAAAGGCGCTTTATCAAACATGAGGATTATCATTATTATTACATTATAGATTGCAACAGACCAAAAATCGAACCCCACCCCATTTGAGTGGTTCTGGAACTTGAGGGAATTTTCAAAATAATATACTCATCAACCTATATAGGGATTAAATGAAGCTGAAAGATTGTTGCAGAGATACTGAATTCAGGCAGGAAGGACAAAAGGACAGACTGCTGTGTAAAGGAAGTGTGAATGAGATTACAGTTGCTCAGGTTAATAATTATAATAATAATTCTTGCATTTGATATAGTGCCTTATCACGTCTTTGAGACGTCTCAAAGTTCTTCACAGAATATACTGTAAAGTGAATTGACTGTATAATTGTGGGCGAAACGCCCTAACATTTCGACAGGTTAATACATTTCTATAAGTTAGGGCGGTGGTGTACAAAATTGCAGCCCTTGCAAAGTCAAACATTGCAGTCTAAAATGTGGGTTGGGCTAATAACTCATGTGTTATGCAATTCTCATGTTATGTTATGTGTCAAATGCAAACAAACCAGTGCCCTTAATGACTTAATCTTTTCATTGCAAAGTATTACAGAGTCTCTTGCAATCCTTTTCATTGGTGTGCAGTTTGCTGATAAAATCTTCCTTCATTGTCTCCGCTAGACATATTCACCTCTCTCTGTAATTAAATCTGAAACTCTCATTCACATTTCTTCTTCTGACCTTGAGCATGTGCTAGATTTCTTCGACCTGTTCAGCTTTCCCCTACCTCTGCAACATTGCCCACCTCCACCTCTGCCCTTGGGCTGCTGAGTCATCCAGTCTTGATTACAACTCTTTGCTCACCAGACTTCCCAACTCTTCCTTCCACAAGCTGCAGACCATTCAGAACTCTGCAGCTCATGCCCTCTCCCGCACTAGTCTCCACGAGTCTATCATCTCCAGCTTTGCAAGCTCCACTGGCTCTCTCCATAGTCTTGCCCCACCCTTTCTCTGTAACTTTCTAATACCCTACCAACCCGCCCTCACCTTCCGCTAGGCATGCACTGATCTCCTTCATGTGACCTGCCCTGCATGCCTCACCATCAGCGGCCAGGCATTGAGCCTTTTTGTCCCCACTCTCTGGAACTCCATCCCTTTGACTCCAAGACCACTGCTGTCCTGACAGAACGTCTGCCCTGAATGAGAGCTAACTTTCTTCAGTTGAACATCAACAAGACCGAAGTCCTCCTGATTGGCTCCAGTCAGTGCCTCCACACCTCAGGTTCTGATAGCATCACCATCCAACGATGCACACTCCACCTTATTAAGCCAGTACAGAAGCTTGGTGTCTTGTTTGACCCTCAACTATCCTTTCTACCTCATATCCGTGCCATGACACGCTCTGCCTTCCCCCATCTCCCCAAGATCGCTCGGCTCTGCCACTGTGTCACACTGCAGGCCACCGAAACCCTCATAACATTCAGGCTTGACTATGCAAACTCCCTGCTTGTCAGCCTCCCCAACTCCTCCTTCCATAGGCTACAGATCATCCAGAACTCTGCAGCCCATGTCCTCTCCCGCACCAGGCTCTATGACCCTGACCCTATCCCCCCATCTGCACCTGACTCCACTGGCTTCCCATCACACAGAGGATACAATTCAAGATCTTGGTCCTCACCTTCAAAACTCTCCAACACCTTGCTCCCTCCTACCTCTGCGACCTCCTAACCCCCTACCAACCTGCCCGCTCCCTCTGCTCAACGGGCTCCAGCCTGCTTCACGTCCCCCACCTCACCTGCCGCACCATTGGTGGACGGATTTTCAGCCATTCTGCTCCACCCTCTGGAACTCCGACCCGGAGTCTGTCCATCTCAACCCCTCCCTTGCCTCCTTCAAGACCTGTCTCAAGACTCTCCTCTTTGACAGTGCCTTCGAACATCCTCCCTCCCCACGTGCCCTCCACACTCCCCGATCCCGACCCCCAGCTTGGATCCGAAACACTGATTGCCCAGCACCTTAGAACATCTTCCTGGCGTGAAAGGCTCCATGCAAATGTAATTTTGTTGCTGTTGTTTGCCTTCTTCCAGCTCCATCTTAAGACCTTCCTTTAGGACCTCGCCTTGGTAATCTTCCCACCCCTTTCTCAAGTTGAATAGACAAGACCAAGGCCCTCCTGCTTGGCTCCTGTCAACACCTCCTTACCTCAGGCACTGACAGTATCACTGTTCATTGATGCACTCTCCACCTCACCAAACCACTACAGAATCTTGGTGTCTTTTTTGACTTTCAACTCTCCTTTAAACCCCACATTCGTGCCTGTTCTGCCTTCTCCCACCTCCGCAACATTGCCTGTATCCATCAATATCTCTCCTCTATCAGGTTGCTGACACCCACATCCACGCATTCATTACGTCTAGGCTCGACTGTGCTAACTTCCTGCTCACCTGACTTCTCAACTCTTCCCTCCACAAGCTGCAGATTATTAAGAACTCTTACAGCTTACATCTCTCCTACACCAAGTTCCATAAACCCATCATCCCCATCCTCGCCCAGCTTCACTGGCTCCAAATCCCCCAGAGGATAGAGTTTAAAATCCTCATCCTCACTTTTAAAGCCCTCCAGTGTTGCTCCTCCCTCCTCTGCAAGCACTAAGACCTTACCAACCTTACCAATTCGGGGGCAATGACCTGCTGCGTGTCTCCCGCCCACCACACCATCAGTGGTCGGGCCTTCAGCCTTTCTCCCCCCCACCGTCTAGAACTCCATCCTAGAATCCCTTTGCCTTTCCCCCTTCAAGGCCCATCTTAAGACCTTCCTCTCCTTCAGCCAACCCCCAGCTCGGGTGCAAACCCGCGACTGTTCAGCACCTTGGGACATCCTTCTGATGTGAAAGTGGCTTATAAAAATGCTATTTGATGTCATCGCTGTTCATCAATTGTGATTGAAGATTTAAATTACTTAAGAATGAAAATGGAGGAAGTCATTTTTGTGAAACTGAAATGTTTTTCAAAATAAAATCAATTGGCTAGAGCTATGAGCTAAATTCCAGACAATGGAAAGACTGTTACTTTAAAATGCTGTATGAGATAAGGAAAAGACCAACAGGTGCACAGATTAAACTGTTAGCGTTTTATTTGTGGATTAGTACTTTCATTCAGTGCAACATTTAAAATATTTCAGAAAAAAGAGATAAGAACCGTTGGGGAAAAAAAATGGAAAAGTTTGTCAGTAAACCATTACATTTGTGTATATGCAGTATATAAAAACTTGGTGTAGAGGGTTTCAGTTTGAGATCCTCTCTTGCGTGTACATTATGGACAAATATTTACAGCTCCAAACAGCCTCTAGGAGAAATACAACAGTCAGCTATTGCAAATAACAAAATGTTATTTGATGAAAACTTGTACAGTGGTGTCTCTTATAGAACAAAGCTCACCATGTTTCTTGTTAATTTAGCAACGTCATTGTGAAAACAATGGTTGGATGTATATTATTGTACAGCACAGTATTAAAGTCAGAAAATCTAGCCTGAGGAAATAATTTCGGAAGGGAAAAAAATATCAGTTAGTGGTTTTATCTAAAACTGTAATTATTAAAAATGTTAGTTTTTTTTATGGTCACAGTGACTCATCTCACTTCTTATCCAGATCAAACTAACAGTGAAACCTTTGTACACATTCCAAAGAAAGCAAACCAGGTCATACTTTCAGCATTGGGCTATCTGATCCAAATTTTAATCATGTAACTTTTGTGACCAGATGAAACATGTTGAAGCTGCACAAACATTTAAATGAAAAGCTTTTTTGTTGTTGTTTGTCAGTCTGATATCAGTTATACAGAGCTAAGTGAAAGCTCCAAGCATCATTCGGAAAAAACTTATTAGATCATGAGGAGCATCAGTTTACATTAATGAATAGGAGTGTACCCATAATATGGCTTGGAGGCCATTTCAACTCCAATGACTCTTCACTTCTGCACCTTAACGTGTTCGAACCTCAATAGGTTGTGGAAGGTTGCCAGACCTGCTAATAATGGCTATGCTTTTTTTTGGTACACAGCAAAACTCAGTAAACTGTTGGTGTGACATACGTTTTCCTATAGAGTAATATCTGTCTTCCTCTAACAGCAAACTATCCCCAGGATCGAGATTGAAATCTAGAGCTCAAGCATAGGGAGAATCAGATACAGCCCATGTCCCGTCACACGGTACAGTGTTGCAACATATATCAAATGGCCCTTGAGCAAGGTGTTGGTTGGGACTGTGGACCTTGACAAAACATTAGTAACAGATTTAGAATCGTGATTTCACTTAATGAAACTCCATCTTAGGTTAGCATGTATAAAATACACAAGAGCATCCTTAAATGCAATTGGCATTTGACATTTTCAGAATGTCGAAATCTTGTACAAAATAGTTGCATTGTCAAAATCTTTATTTCTTCCCTTTTAAAAAAAAAGACTGATTTAGCACGTGCAACTACTGAGAAAGCAAATCTAAACAGATTGATATGCGTACACTCATTTTCTCCAACAGTATCAGATTATAATATATGATGGCATCCTCAACTATTAGTTCTACACAAGTTAACGTAATAGAATGGTGCTAGACATCCAAATAACATAAATCATTTTCAAGGGGAAAGTGGCGAGAGCATTTATAATTTATACGGACAATACAGACCAAATTGGAATACAGCATCCCCCCCCACCACACCATCAACCTTCAGATACCTAAATTATTCTGCAAGTTAAAGGTATCATTGTCATTGTAACAGGTTGCTCAGTGAAAACTACATATATAAAAAAACCTATTCATAGTGCACCCCGGAAAAGAAGGAAAACTATTTTACTCAACTCTTACCAGTTTCAGAACACTGAAAATACCACGAAAATACAATTATTTATAAACAGAAACATCACTGCAACAAGGACAGAACTGCTTGTGAAAAGATTTGCCTCTTCATTCAATATGTCATTTCCATTCTTTGGCGTTTGAAAGATGTTTTATCTGAAGGTGATGATTCCAACCAACTCTATCTTTTCAAACAGTTCAGAATACCAGTTACAGCTTCCATCTTCTTAAAGCAAGAAGAAAACTGCAGACATAGCACATAGTAACAACAAAAGAAAATATCTGTGGGGGGGAAAAAATAAAAAAATCAATCACATCAAATTAAAGAACATTTTGATTTGGCTTAGGTTTCTACAATACATAAAACAACTCCACCATTTCTCCATCAATTTTCAATTACTGTATTCTTCACAGACCAAAGATCTGACCTAAAACTTTTCTGCTTTTGTATAGATGAATACCACATCACATGATATCCACAGAGGTAGCAAGGAGTACAAGTTGAGGGATATTTATCAGCTCAAATATTCAAGTTACATTTCTTGAAAAATTGTACAATCAGCATTATCAGAGGGACGCTCACCTCTCATTAGTTTCTGTGGCAAGTTATAAATCACATGATCATTGCACATGTTATATGATTCATTCATCAGAAAGCTTGTTCAATCTGCATTTAACTGCCCACTTTCCTAATGAACTTGAGTCAAATTGAACTTGAACACCAAATTAGTACAGTATTTATTTATTTACATAATTTATTTTTGAGGGTGGTTTGTCATGTGGTCTTCTCTGCAAAAAAAGCCTTCCAACTGAAGGCTGAATTGAAGTTGGCACAATCCATTAAACCAATAGTGCCAACCCATGGCCCATGGGAGTACCAAGAAGTGGCCTGTCGAACATTCACACCAGCCTAGGTAAGTCTATGAGTAGCAATATTTATGCTGCAGCTATGAATCAAGTAATATTCAATCAAGAAAAAAATATTTTGTTGTCCGACCAAACAGGCTGGCCACCACTGTAGTAGACAATAGTCTCAAGGCCAGGAAAGGATGAAGGAAGAACTGGTAAAAAGTTATGGAATAGCACTGAGATGTATTTGCTTGTTAAAAGTAAAAGCAGGAATTTAGAAAGACAAGAGTTAAAAGGAGGCAAAGCTAAAAGGTGCTAGAGGGACCTTCTCTTCCCAGTTTTAATTAACTGTGAAAGTAACATGAATAGATCACGAGAGGTGATGGATTAAAGAGAGGCAAGGTCCTTCAGCCCATTTCACAGGAGAGTTATGGATGAATAGGCCCTATTCCCTTTATTCTCAACCTTCGAGAATACCCACCCGACTGTCCTCCCATTGCAGCAATAATCTGTTTCAGAAGTGAGTCCAGTGTCAGGATCTCAACCACCTTTCTCGGTATTACATTCCAGTCATTAATTATTCTCTGTTTAAAGAAATACATCCTAGAGTCTATCCTGAAATTGCCCTTTACAACACTGAACATGTGCCCTCTTGCCCCGTTACCTTGCTAAAATGAATTAGGAAAGAACAGTAATTTGTAGCACGTTAAGCGTAATTTAGTTGGGTTGAACCTGCATGAATTTAAACAAAAATACTTACTGTAGCAGCAACATTAAGACTGTATGCTTGTTGACTTAGAAGAGTGCTAACATTATTATGAATAATGCTGTGAGTAGCTCCAGCGGTGGTTGCAGCTTCAAGTAATGATGCTCCAAAATAGCACACGAAAGCAACAAAATGGTAGGCAAAATCCTGTGAATCAAATAGAACAATTAGCAGTATTCCAAATTTAGTCACTTCCAATACTGTACAGTATTTCTACTAAATGTTGAATGGAAAATCAGTGTTTACTAAATCTTAGCCTACAAGTTTTTAAAAAAAAATCTATCACACAATAATATTAGATTGAATGTGGAGAAAATCTTCTGTAGAGCTCCCTCCCTTACTATGGACTCTTCACAAAAAGCATTAGCCAAACAGGGTTTTAAGCCATCTTTAAGCCATTTCTTAGCCAGACACTATTGCAAATCATTGCCAGGGTTCCTGTTCCTAAATCCCTCTTCAGTACCCTCTGCTGGTTGAATGCTTGCAGGCAGCCAGGTGGGGAGTGGCCAGGCTCACTAAAGTTGAGCGTACTTTTCAGGACTCACACATGAATAAAGACCCGTTGGATGGGATACCCAGGAGGCAACCGGGGCCCATGGAACTGCACCCCATTACAGACCAGATTAGGACAGAGAGAGATATGCCAGAGGGAAGAAGTTTTAGAAAATTAATTAGTTACTTTCTTTAGAAAAACAAATAAAAAGCAGAAGAACAAGTTGCACTGGGGGAAAAGGTGGCTAATTTAACAATAAATTGTACTTATGTAGATCCTTTCATGGAGAACATCTAAAAGCATTTACCTGGATGTTGAGGGGCAATTACAGTGGGAAGGAGGAGGGTATAGGGAGGTGACAGAAAAGGTTAAAGAGGTACAAACGTTTTGAATTCAGTGCAAGAGGGTGTGAGATGAAAGAATTTTGGGAAAGAGTTCCATAGAGTGGGGGCATCATGACTGAAGGCACAAATGAGTGGGACAGAGGGGGCGTGGGACATGCAGCAAGCCTGGGCTTGTGCAGCAAAAGTAATGGGAGAATTGAGCTGGAGAAGAAAGCAAAAGTGGGATTCGAGGTGAGCATGAGGATCTTGAAATGAATCTGCTGGGAGATGGGTGGTCAGTTGGGTAGAAATGAAAATGCCAATTATCCCAAAGCTTTGTCAACTGTTACATTCTCAAAGACATTTGTAGCACAACCAGGCCAGGGTCTGTTTAAACAAATGATCTTTGCCAAACATCTGATTAACAGCCCACCTTCAGTTTGCACATTGTGATCTGGAGCCAGGCGGGTAAAAATGAAAATGATATACAATAACAACAACATTACATTTGTATAGCGCCTTTCACGTCGGGAGAACGTTCCAAGGCGCTGGACAGTATACAGCATTTCAGACCCAAGTTGGGATCAGGGGGGGAGAAGGGAGGGGAGGGGAAGGGGTGTGACCGATGACATGGTCAAAGAGGAGGGTTTTGAGGTGGGACTTGAAGGAGGCTAAGGAGGGGGCGAGGCGGAGTGATTGGGGGATGGAATTCCAGAGGTTGGGGGCAGAGTGTCTGAATGCTCTCCCGCCAATGGTGGGGCAGGTGGGTCAGGGGACGTGGAGCAGACCAGAGCCGGCTGAGCGGAGGGAGTGGAAGGTTGGTAGGGAGTTAGAGGTCACAGAGGTAGGTTGGGGCGAGGCCATGGAGGGCTTTGTATGTGAGGACCAGGATCTTGAACTGGATCCTCTGAAGGATAGGGAGCCAATGGAGTCGGGCGAGAGTGAGGGAGATGGAGTCACGGAGTTTGGTGCGGGAGAGGAGACAAGCTGCAGAGTTCTGGATTATCTGCAGCCTGTGGAGGGAGGAGTTGGGAAGGCCGACAACCGGGGCATTTGCATAGTCGAGCCTGGAGGTGATGAAGGCATGAACAAGAGTTTCAGAGGCCTGAGGGGTGAGGTAGTGGCCAAGTCGGGCGATGTTACGGAGGTGAGGGAAGGCAGAGCAGGTCATGGCTTGAATGTGGGGAAGAAAAGACAGTTGAGGGTCGAACAAGACACCTCGGTTCCTGACTGACTTGGTGAGCTGTAGTGTGCAACCATGGAGGTTGATGTTGCCAGAGCCTGAGGTGCTGAGGCGCTGGCGTGAGCCAATCAGGAGGGCCTCAGTCTTGTTCACATTCAACTGTAGGAAATTTGCCCTCATCCAGGACTTGATGTCCGACAGGCAGTCTGTCAGGACAGCAGTGGTCCTGGAGTTGAGGGTGGAGGCAGAAAGATAGAGTTGGTGTCATCCGCATACATGTGGAAGTTGACCCAAAATTCTACGGATAATGTCACCAAGGGGGAGCATGTAGATATTAAAGAGGAGAGGGCCAAGGACAGAGCCCTGGGGGACGCCAGGCGTGGCAGTGAGGGGGCTGGAGGAGAAATCATTAGAGCCAACAAAGTGGAGATGGTGAGAGACAGGAATCGAACCAGGCAAAGACAGATCCACGAAGATTAAGTAAAGAGAGGTGGTGTATGAAGATAGAGTGGTCGACAGTGTCGAAGGCGGCAGCGAGGTCGAGGAGGACAAGGAGGCAGAGGGAGCCCTGATCACAGATGTTCAGCATGTCTTTAATAACTTTGACCAGGGCTGTTTCCGTGCTCTTTCCGGGTTCAAAGAGGGAATGGCGAGAAAGAAATCCATCCATCCAAAAGCTTTATCCATTGTTACATTCTCCAACAGATCTATGATACAACCAAGCCATAAGCTGACAAATCAATGACAGCTTCCCAAACATCATATTAAGTGTTACTTCGCACGTTGTGATTGGGAGCTAGTTGAGTAAAAATGAAAATGACAAACGTCCAAAAGATTTGTCGACTGTTACATTCTCAAAATCTTTGTGGCACAACCAGGCCAGGATTCATATAAACAAATGTTGCTTAGAAATATCGTAAACTCCTGATATCTCAACCCTGTTTTAACTTGTCATTACCAGTTAAGTCATCACGTTGTCAATATCCTGGCTGCATTTATTGATATATATACACCTAACTTGCCACTTCTGATAATTTGTCACTGAGCTCTTTTCCCTTGGACCGACGAGTTATCAGGAGTTTACTATAGATGAAACTATACCACTAAATGCTGCAGTATCTATTAGAATCCAGCTCGGACTCCCAGTTGGGTCTATGAAGAGCTTTAAGATGACTATATAAATGTAAAAATCGTTGCTGTTGTGATGATTACACAGGAACAGCGATCATAATACAATTACATCAAATGTCAAAATAAGACCACAAAAAGACTGGAAAAGAGAAAATTTTATGTGAATGAGGAATGAACATGTTCAGTGCAAATAAATTGGTGGGATACATTCGTAGAGAAAACTACAGACCAGCAAGTGGAAATTGCAAGGAGAAAAATAAAAGTTGAGGTTCGAAACCAGAGTGTTGTAGATTAACAAGGAGTCCAAGTCATTGAAGTTTTAAAACAAGGTTTTAATCATTATAAGACACAAAAAACTAAGGAAATTAGGATAATGTATATAACAATAACTTGCATTTATATAGTGTCTTTCACGTCAGGAGGACGTCTCAAAGTGCTACACAGTGCAGGATGGGCACCCGAGCTGAGGCTGGTACAATTGTAAACAAGAAGACAAAAATAAACTCAAAATATTGTATACGATATGTCAAATGGCATCTAAAAGTAATAGATTAGCTAAAGTGTTGGAAATAGAAGTGTATATATGGATGTGCAGAAAGCCTTTAATAAGGCATCTCATGACACATGATAAAAACCTGAAGGGTCATGGTATTAAAGATAAAATAGTAGTAAAATTGTTTTCAAATCCCTTCATGCCCTTGCACCTCGCTACCTATCTGGTTTGCTTAACCCCCATTGCACTCCCTCTGTTCCACCATTGGTGGCCATGCTTTCAGCCACTATGCCCCAAAACTCTGGAACTCCCTCCCTCAATCCCTCCGCCTTGCCCCCTCCCTCTCTACTTTCAAGTCCCACCTAAAGACCTTCCTTTTTGATCATGCTTACAGTCACCTCCCCACTCCCTCTGGCTTAGGGTCAGACTCCACCACTATCAAGTGCTCTGGGATGCTACCCCATGTGAAGGGCGCTATTTAAATGCAAGTTGTTGTTGTAGTAGAAAGAGTCATATACAATCATATACAAATTTGGGCAGAGCTAAAGAAAATAACTAGAGCTAAGGCATGAAAAAAGGCAAACGAGGACAATAAAGCAAGGAAAATATTATTTTAAAGATGACAAGGATAATCACGGAAAGATCAAAGAAACAGCTGATGTGCAAGTACTTTGCATCTACATTTGCAGATGGGGAGTTGCTGGGAAAGGAGGTAGATGTCAAGGTGCAGCTGTTATAATTTATTTCAATAAGAAAGTAGTGGCCAAAAGGTTGACAGAACAAAGTGGAGAAGATTACAGGGTCAGACAGGAGGATTTCATCATAGAGTGCTGAGGTAGGTTAAACCCAAATAGTGGGAGCATTGACTGAAATTATCATAGGTACTTAAAAGAATTCCGAGGGATTGTAATGTTGTGTCGTTGTTCAAAATGGGATGGGGGAGGGGAATAAGATAAATCTGGAAACTTTAGGCTGGTTTCGCTTCACATTGTTGGTGGTTAAAATGTTGGGTGTCTATTATAAGGCAAGAATTGATAAGCATCTTGATGGACAAGCATGGATTCTTGAAGGGCAGATTGTGTTTAACTTAATCTAAACTAATATATTTTTGAGAAAATAAGAGTGTAAAGTATGTCATAATACACTATCAAAACTTGAAAGGTCATGGTGTTAAAGATAAAATAGTAGTAGAAAGAGTCATATACAATCATTCTCACAATTTGTTAAGGGGGTATTTGTGCATGATTTGTATTGCAGTGTCAAGTCATTTATGACAAAATTATTTATTTTATCAGGTCTGATAGGAAACAGGCAGTTTGCCCATTTTCCAACTTTGCAGCAGATTACTGGTTGCGATCAAAGCCTTAGAAAGTATACTTCGTCACTACTTGACTTACATGCCGAATTTTCTCGCAGATTCCAGGATTTCAATTTGATCAAAAATGACCTGTCTTTGGTCTCTTCACCTTTCTCATTTGATGTTGACAAAGCCTCATTTGACCTCCAACTTGAGCTTATTAACATGCAATGCAATGACCTGACCATTGCTTGCGGAGCAATTCAAATCAGTGCCGCTTCCCAGTTTTTATGCCTCTCTTAATGAATATACCTTTCCAAAAATAAAGGCTCATGCCCGGAGGATGCTTGTGCTGTTTGGATCAACATACATATGCGAGGAAACATTTTCTGTGATGAAATTCAATAAATCAAAACATAGGTCTGTGATGACTGATGACCACCTTGCAGCAGTCCTCCACATTACAACGGAAACGATGCCTGACTTCAAATGCCTGGTTAAAGCACATCAGCGCTTTCATTCTTCCCATTGAGTGAGCTTCTCACATTCTCATTAATATGTGAATAAATATCGAAAAAATGTCTACTCAATGAGTTATTTTTATTTAACCTAATTTTAATGAATGTCAATTATGTAGACTTTATTTTATGCATGTACAAGTATAAGACTTGATTTTGAGCTATTATTAAGCATTTGCATCTATATTAAGTGCGTGGCCCGCGAAGCTTACCAAAACTTGTGAAGTGACAAAATAATTGCCCACCCTTGTCTTAGACAATGCCCGCCATCACCTCTCTCCTCCCCAGTCACTGTAAAGCTCTAAGATGTTACTCTCCACATGAAGGGCACTATATAAATGCAAATTGTTGCAAAATTCTATCAACATGGTTGGAACACAATTTCTTAAAGTGCATGGTTAGATTGTTATCATTTATTTTACTGATGTGACTTCACATTATAGCCTGAGCTATTACGGTCAGGCATACCTTCAGTGCTATTAAACGTCAACAGTAAGATGCATATTCTGGATATTTGATAATATTGCCTTGATTTGAAATAAGGGCCTCAAGTCTGAAATGCTTTCCGGTGTGGAGTCCTGTAGCTCAGTGGTTAGAGCTGTGGGAGTTTACTCCACACACCTCTCTTTACCTAGCAGTAAGTAGGAACCCGGTTGTCAGTTGATTGGCGCATCGCTTTTCCAGGGGTAATTTTCCTTCAAAAAAAATAATAATTTGGTCACTCAATGCACGATTTTGTGGGGCACTGCTGTGTGTAATTGGCTGCCGCATTTCGACCACAAAATATACAGTCAACTCACTTTACAGTATATTCTGTGAAGCGCTTTAAGACGTCTTGATGACATGATAAGGCACTATATTAAATGCAAGGATCATTATTATCCTTGCGGGCTTCCAAACCTTACTCCTCAGATTATTTGCTGTTTTTATTTCATTTTGTTTTTCTGCTTTGCATCCAACACAGAAGGAACACACCTCACACACACTACAAGCTCAATGTTCACTTGTAAAACAAGTCAGTAATTTTTCACAGTTTGCAGCTGAAATTTGAGATTGATTTTAATGTTTTTCTACAATAAATCTCAAAAGGCAGTTCTATAAAATTGTTTTTTTTGTTTAGCTTTTCACTACACCTTTGTCCCAGTTTATACTGATAGGATTCTTAGCTGCACGTCTTAACTACATTCAGGCTCAGAGAGCAGTATTTAGAAATAAACTTTGCCCCTAGGTGCGGCACTAAGCAATTTACGCCAAATATACAATATGGGGTTCAATTTAAATCAGTAATCTCACGTCTATAATCTCAACACCTTGGGCCGTCCTCCCTACATAAAAGGCACTATACAAATATAATAAATAAATATAATAAATGTAATACAGCCCACATATATACAGTCAATTCACTTTACAGTATATTCTGTGAAGTGCTTTGAGACGTCTCGAAGATGTGAAAAGCGCGATATCAAATCAAGGATTATTATTATATTATAGTTTGCTGTTGTTGTCAGATCACTTTTATTCAAAGGTTTTGTTCAGATATTGATTAGCAGCATAGCAGATGAAATATTGAACACAAAATTGCAATATATGAGTCAAAACTGGAGAAATACCAAACACATTATGTAGCACCCCTAATTCCAACAATCCCATTCCCCCAAAACTGATGCTGTGTCCAAAGGATGTAACATTTATAAAAAAACAAGATCCCAGAACATCAGTCATTTAGTAAATTAAAATACATTATTGATTTAATAGCAATTGTTAGGCTGTCATGGAACTGGCCTGGTTGGTAGCACTCTCACCCCAAAGTCTGAAGATTTTGGATTCAAGACACTTATCAGGAATTTGAGTTCACACACTAGGCTGATATCCCTGTTCAGTACTGGGGGAGTGTTGCATTGTCAAAGAAGCTGTCCTTCGGATGAAGTATTAAACTTAGATGGACACTAAAGATGCCATGACAGTTCAAAAAAAAAGATAAATTAGTTTTTCCCTGAGTTTTTCCTGGCCTAGCCAAAAATCCCTCATGTAAAGTTAGTCCTGCATTTTTTCACTGTTTTTGGGACACTGATGCATGGAAATTGGTTGCAGTATTTGCCTTCAAATACACAGTCACTACATTTCACTACACTTAAAATGTTGTGAAGTCCTTGACATGTCCGCCTGACATGAAAGATGCTATATCAAATGCATGGATTATTATAACAATCATCTATACATGTTTCTGCAGCCATTTAACTTAAAATGGGACGAGTTTCTCTGGCTTGCATTGTCCACCAAATAAGGTTGAAAACCGAAACTTATGAACACATGTACATCTTTTCAGCAGTAAATCTTTTTTAAAAATAATGCACAGGGTTTGTTTACATCTGCCTTCTCTTCCGCTCACCTCTGGTTCTCCAGACAGGTTTGTAAGTATGAGCTTTTCAACACTCTCTGTGCACATTAAATTAATTTATATATAAAATATTGAATATTCAGCTGAATTGACTAAATAGGGTTTCAAAGGGTAAAGAAAATGAAAAGCCGAGGTTCTCATTCCCTTGTCCCCTTAATTAACTCCTTTCTAGTCATAGCCATGATCTGACCACTTTGATGGCACGTTGGATTGTTCTGAGTCAGTAGATCTTTGGGGACGAGGAAAGAAGGGGTAAGTGGACCTCCAAAAAAAATGTGTCTCCCGTGCTATCTATAAAAATTCTCACCAGGAAACACTAGTTTCCCAATATTTTGACAAATGTCCATCTTTTCCATTCCACTCTCCTATGAATCCTAAAGAGATATCATAGTCACAAACCCAGATCATGTAGCACTCCAAGTGGTGTCAGCACAGCCCCAGTGTAACCAACCTGCCTGTGACCTCTTTTATACTGACGCTTGCTGGCAAAATCGCTGCTATTCTCACAATAATTCACTAACAAATGGATAGCATAAATCCTCCAGATGTTTTGGTCTCACTTGAATTCACAGGTCTGTGGGGTAACAAACCAAGACCACAAACAAGATCACTCTTTTCAGAGCACAACCATAATTACTTCATAACACATTCAGCTCAGGAAGGAACGGAATCATTTCAAATGGCATTCCCTTTGTCAGTTCTGATGAAGGGTCGTGGACCGAAACGTTGACTTACTTTCCTTTCTCCATAGATGCTGCCTGAACTGCTGAGTGTTCCCAGAGACTTCTGTTTTTGAAACAAAACTATCCATTTGCACCCTATTTATCAATGTAAAATGAAGGCAATCTGCGTTTTGCACTCATAGACAATCAAATCCAGGTAATGTTTTACTCCTTACCAGCTCTAACTATAAGGGAAGCTAGGAAGTGTTTTTTGGGGTTTCAATAAGGGTTCAAAGTTATGAATGGCTTGACTGTGCATGCATTGGCTGTCACGTTTGCCTACAAATATACAGTAAAATCCTGTGAAGCAATTTGAGATGTCTCAACGACACAATAAGGCATCATATCAAATTTAAGGATCAGGAGAAATTGTTTCACAGAAAGGGTTAACAGGATGTACGTTAAAGGAACTTGCCATTGAAACCAAACTATTACAGCATAAGAAACAAAATTTGTTAAACACTTGAAGAACGAAAACATGAAATGCTACAGGTAAACAACAGTGAAAGTGAATTCGAACAATTAGCTCAGTTTGGGGCAGCTTACTGAACCCAGGCACGTGGGCCGAATGCCAAAAGTATTTTGTAACTGAAAACATTCGATTCTCCCATTACCACTTAATCATTAGAAATTGAAAGGCAAAATGTTTGAAGATAACATTCCCACCGGTATTGTGCTGGACTGCAAAAGAAAGCAAACAGGAACTCTTGCCTCCCATTCCTTTAATGACTTGTCACCACAGCAGTGCCTTTCCACACTGCCACACAGAAAATCCCAATGCCACCTCGACCACCGGGTGGCATGAAACAAAAAGGATGCCCTTAATACCTGCTTGCCCACCTCTCGGCTCCTGCAAACAATCCAGCCACACAGTGTGAACATTTACTGCGCTGCACAGCTAGAAATCTCCAGAGAGGAGGCTCCTTCCCTTTCAGTTTAGGAACACCAAAGTTGACCAGTGGATTAAGTGACAGGCTTGGTCTTACACACTTGATGGCGAATAATCCAGTGGTTAATGATCATCAATAAAGCTTACCAGGAAGTTCCAGTCCACCTCCACTCGGAGCACGATCCCGAAGATGTAGGCAAGCAGGTAGAGGATGGAACAGGCACACGCGGTGATGGACACAAACATCACCCAGCCTTGTAGCAGAGGCACCGGGACATTGGAAGCAGCGATAAGGATCCATACCAGCGCCCCGAATAGCTATACAACAACAACAAAATTACATTTTATAGCGGCTTTCACGTCGGGAGGACATGCCAAGGCCCTGACCAGTGGAGGTCAGTGTCTTTAGAGGAGGAAGTACATTAAGTTTAGAGAGAGAGAGAGAAAAATAACTAACTGCAGAGAAGGAAAGAAAAAACTTTTTTTAAATATAGAAGCGAAGACAAGAGATGTGACTTTGAAAAGGAAAGAGAAAACAATGTTAGAAAAGGAGAGAGAGAGACAGAGAGAAAGACAGACCCAGAGAGACAGACAGAGACACAGAGACAGACCCAGAGAGACAGACAGAGACACAGACCCAGAGAGACAGACAGAGACACAGAGACAGACCCAGAGAGACAGACAGAGACACAGAGACAGACCCAGAGAGACAGACCCAGACCCAGAGAGACAGACCCAGAGAGACAGACCCAGACCCAGAGAGACAGACCCAGAGAGACAGACCCAGACCCAGAGAGACAGACCCAGACCCAGAGAGACAGACCCAGACCCAGAGAGACAGACCCAGAGACAGACCCAGAGAGACAGACCCAGAGAGACAGACCCAGACCCAGAGAGACAGACCCAGACCCAGAGAGACAGACCCAGACCCAGAGAGACAGACCCAGACCCAGAGAGACAGACCCAGACCCAGAGAGACAGACCCAGACCCAGAGAGACAGACCCAGAGAGACAGACACCGACCCAGAGAGACAGACAGAGACACAGAGACAGACCCAGAGAGACAGACACAGAGACAGACACAGACACAGACAGAGATCCAGAGAGAGGTGAAGGACACGCGGTGTGTGTGTGTGTGTTGGGGGGAGAGGCACCGCTCAGAGTGGGGACTTACAATCTCCAGACAGATCAGGACCCCGGAGTATGTCTGCAGCACCGGGAGGCCGACAGGGAGGGTGATGCGAGGCGCGGGGAAGGCTATGTTGGGATTGACGCCGGTGTTGTTCGGAGCGGGAGCCGACATGACGGTTCGTGTGGGGACAGACAGGCAACAGGCAACAGGCAGGTGGGCGCGGCAGCGGGGAAGGCAGGTGTGGCCTCAACTCCCCGCCACAGCTCACAGCCCAACACAGGAGCCAGACCACACCCTGCACCTGCCCCCCCCACCAGCCCTGCCCCCTGCCCTGCCCCCCCCCAGCTCTGCCCCCCCCCCCCTGCCCCCCCCTCCTGCCCTGCCCCCCCCCCCCCAGCCCTGCCCCCCCCAGCCCTGCCCCGCCCCAGCCCTGCCCTGCCACCCTGCCCCCCCCCCCAGCCCAGCCCTGCCACCCTGCCCCCCCCCCAGCCCTGCCCCCCCCACCCCCACCACACACACACCCCCCACCACACACACATACCCCCCACCACCCCCCACCACACCCCCACCACCACACACACCCCCCCCACCACCACCACCACACACCCCCCCCCACCACACACACCCCCCACCACCACACACCCCCCCACCACCACCCCCCCCCCCACCACCACCCCCACCCCCCCCACCACACACACCACCACCCCACCCCCCCCACCCCCCCCACCCCCCACCCACCCCCCCACCACACACACACCACCCCCACCACACACACCACCCCACCACACACACCACCCCACCACACACACCACCCCCACCACACACACCATACCCCCACCACCACACACACCCCCCCACACCACACACACCCCCCACCACACACACACACCCCCACCCCACACCACACCCCCACCACCACCCACCCCACACACACAACACCCACCCCCCACCACACACACACCCCCACCACCACACACACACCCCCACCCACCCCCCACCCCCCACCACACCCCCCCCACCACACACCCCCCCCCACCCACACACACCCCCCCCACCACACACACCACCCCCACCACACACAACACCCCACCACCCCCACCCCCCCACCCACCCCCCCACCACACACCCCACCCCCCACCCACACACACCACACCCCCCCCACCCCCACCACACCACCCACACACCCCCACCACACACACACACCCCCCCCACACACACCCACCCCCACCACACACACACAACCCCCCACACACACACCCCCCACCACACACCACACCCCCCACCACACACACACCACCCACACACACACACCCCCACCACACACACACCCCCACCCACACACACACCACCCCCACCACACACACCACCCCCCCACCACACACACACCCCCCACCACACACACCCCCACCACCACACACACACCACCCCCACCACACACACACCACCCCCACCACCACACACCCCCCACCACACACCACCACCCACCCCCCACACACACACCCCCCCCCACACACACACCCCCCACCCACACACACCCCACCACCACCACACACACCACCCCCACCACAACACACCACCCCCACCACACACACACCCCCCACACACACACCACCCCCACCACACACACCACCCCCCACCACACACACCACCCCCACCACATACACACAACCCCCCCCACACACACATACCCCCCACCACACACACACCCCCCACCACCACACACACCCCCCACCACACACACACCACCCCCACCACCACACACCCCCCCCACCACACACACCACCCCCACCACATACACACATACCCCCCCACACACACATACCCCCACCACCACACCACCCCCACACACACACACCCCCCCACCACCACCACACACACCCCCACCACACACACACCCCCCCCACACACACATACCCCCACCACACACACCCCCACCACACACACACCCCCACCACATACACACATACCCCCCCCCACCACACACATACCCCCACCACCACACACACCCCCACCACACACACCCCCACCACCACCACCACACACACCCCCCACCACACACACCACCCCCCACCACCACACACACCCCCACACCACCACCACACACAGCGCCCCCCACACACACCACCCCCACCACCACACACAGCGCCCCCCACACCCCACCACCACACACACACCCCACGCCACACACCTCCCCACACATACACACCCCCCACCACACACAACCCCCTCCCGCCACCACCACCACACACACCCCCACCACACTACCCCCACCACCACACACACACACACTTTCCTTACTCCACACGGCTAATAATAATCCCTCCAAAACAAAACAATAATAAATTGGTCATTTTCAATCCACGACTTTTTGTGGGACACTGCTGAGCGCAATTGGCTGCCGCGTTTCGCCCACAAATATACAGTCAATTCACTACAGCATATTCTGTGAAGCGCTTTGAGACGTTGAGAAGACATGAAAAGCGCTATATCAAATGCAAGGGTTATTATTCATTATAATTATCGTTCTTCCACGTGTTTTGGTGGTTGGTCAGTGCACCGTAGAAGAACAACATGGGAGGAACAGCTCTTTGTGAACACCCTGTAAAATCCTACTTTGGGATCCACCAAGATGGGAGAACAAGAATGATCTGGTTGCGAAAGACAACCTCAGGGAAGACACCAGGAAGTGGGTAATTAACAGCAGGAACAGGTGGGCGGGAAGGGTGTCTGAGACCAGGACACTGAGCTCATCTTTTTAAAAACATTGCTTGATGCTGTAACGGGAGGGAGGGATATTCTTGAGGGGTGAGGTCAAATGGATTAAAGTTCACCTGAACCAGTCTTATGATCTTGTGAATACTTCTTTTAACCACTACAACCCATAGTGCCTTCAGATCATCAATCATTATCTTCATTGTTACCTGTATTATTATAGGCAACCAACAAAGTTGCCTTTTTTTCCTTAAAAAAATCCACTCACTAACTAAAATTAGATACATTGTATAATGTTTGGAGAGAGGGGAACAATGTACACTGCAACAGGAATCTGAATAACAACAACAAGATTACATTTGTATAGCGCCTTTCACGTTGGGAGGACGTCCCGAATAAAGTTGAATAAAGTTGAATCTTTCATACATTTTGGAGGATTGAAGATGGAATGGAAATAAAGCAATGGATCAGTGTGACTAATTTGACAATAAATGCTGTTAAAATGCCCTTGACACCAGACATGACTGCGAGAAAACTGTACGCAATTGGCTGCCGCGTTTCACCACCAAATACACAGTATATTCTGTGCAGTGCTTTAAGATGTCTTGAAGATGTGATAAGACGCAATATTAAATGCAAGGATTATTATTATTAAAGTAATTAGAAGGGAATAAGAAACGTGGGTTGGCCGTAATGATCTTTTCTCAAGGTCATATTCTCATTTTTTAACTGGGTTTAGAAAAAGAATACAGATTTGAGATTTGATACATGGGCAGATTTGTTCTAAGCAACTGCAGCAAATGTTTGACACTGTATCTAAGGGCCAGTGACAGCAAGTGTAGCAATAAACTTGCAAGCTAGTAAAAGGTAAAAGCTAGAAACCCCACCCCTGTGACTAATAATTAATTGTGGTTCTCCAATACAATACAACTATTATCGATTTCAAAAGGAGTTAAATCTCTGAATTTAATTTACAGTGAGTCAATAAACAAACTCAATACTGTACAGTACTACAGTTGGCACTCCACTGATCTGCCAATTAAGTATGGAGTGCTACTATTTCCCACTGGAGTACAGATTAAAGAGTATCTTCCTGACTGAACCTGGAAAGGGAAAACAGTGGCTTGTTAACTAGGTTGTTGATAACAACACACCCCAGGGATCTTTACAGGTCTCAAAAAAGAGACCTATAAAGATCCCTGGGGCGTGTTACAATGGGCTCAAAAAACGAAACTAAGTCTGAAGAGGTCTTAATATATATTTGTTACCCAGTTTGGCTCAGTAGGTAGGTAGCACTCTCATCTCTGAGTCAGAAGGTTGCAGGTTTAAGCCCCACATCAGGAATTTGAGATCATAAGTCTGGATTGATACTCCAATGCAATGCTGGGAGAACGCTGCATTGTAAGAGATGCCATGCAAGTGTAAACACTGGCACAGACAACTTGTGCTGAATAGCCTGTTTCTGTACTGTTATGTTCTATGCAATATAAAGGGTGATATAAATGGCCTTCTGTTCTGCAAATACCTATACATTCCCATTTTATTTAAACTTTAAAATGGATTGATCCTGGAGAGGTTGCAATATATGGGTACGGAAACCCTACAACAGTCCATTTATCTTTGTAAACTTCAGATGAGATGTTAAACTGAGGTCCCATTTGCCTTTTCAGTGGATGTTAAAAACTCTATGGTACTGTTCGAATAGAGAAGATAGTCTTTCCCAGTATCCTGGCCAACAATTCCCCAGATAAAAAATGATCAATCAATTATTGGATGTTTGTGGGACATTGCTGTGCTCAAATTGGCTGCACTGATCATCTGTCAATACACAGTCACTACACCAGAGTAAATTCTATGAAGTGGCTTGGGTTATTTCGACAATATGATAAGATGCTACATTAAATGCAAGAATTATTATGATATATTACACATTTATGACTCAGTACTTGTGCCTAATTTTACTGCTAATTGTTGAGGTTATTAGCAAACGTAAGCATTGGTTGCTCAGCCGGTAAGGCTGATTATGCAGAAAAGTGCAATCCTGTGAGGATGGTTGATAAAGCTGCAGAACCATCATATGGATGAATGAGTTTGAAGCCTAGTACTCTGCGAAATCTATTTATTATAATGTGGACTGGAATATTATTCTGCAGGTGTTTTATAGACTTAATTGTGTGTTGGATGCTGCTGGTTGGAAGACTGAACGTATTTGGGAGACGGAGGAGAGAGTTTACTTAATAGCAATAAGAAAAGTTGGCAACTAGAAACAAAATTATTGCCAAATGTTTTTTAAATAAAGATAATTCATTTTCAATCCTAGTAATCGTGAAGTGGTACAATCTTTCAAAGAAGTTATCATTACTTAGAAAACAAAATGAATCATCCTGATTGTCATTGTTGGTCGTGACAGCCACACCTGAAAATTAATCTGCACGGTCCACGTGAAAATATAACGCCTGCCTTAAATTATTTATTGTGAAATAACATTGTTGTTTTATTTGAAAAATAGATGTTTGAAACTTGGGGATGTTTGCAATGA